TTTTCATGTATGTTATTAATAGATAATCACATGATTTTCTCGTGCAATTTGGAATAAATAAGCATTTGTAAATTGTTCAAAGACCGCAAATTGCACTCGCCCTACGGGCTCATGCAATTTTGTTAGTCTTTGAAAAAATTTACTCGTGCTTATTTATTCCAAATTGCACTCGAAATCATGTGATTACCTATACAAATTGAATTAAAAAGAAACTACCTTCTTTCCCTAAGTTTACTTCCACGAAGTTGTTACGTTGGAAACAACATCCATTTGAATTCTGCTACTTCATTACATGAAACCAATTATTGTTTTAATGAATATCAAGCCAGAATGCCCTCTTGAATGGATGTTTCACCAGAACTGTTATCGTTTTGTAAAGCATCTTGTTTGTCAACATTCCAAGTTACCTGGGAAACCAGAGAAAATGAAAACGCACTTTTACATCCAATGAAAAATGTTGGTGTTTGCAGATTATCATAAACAATCGGCAAACTCAAGATGTTCCACAGGTTTGTTATCGCGCTATTGTATCTTGAAATAACTTAATACAAAGATGTTTTAGAAAAACGCCCCATCATCGTACACCGAGGGAAGATGAAGGACAAATGAAAAGACTGTTTTTTCTTCTTCGGGCCTCTCAGTTTTCAAAGATGTTGATCACGAACTCAATCGAAGAGTCGGCGAGTCAGTGCGTTATCATCTGGTCACGGCAATATCTGGTTCATCGAAAAATCAGGGACCAGACTAGCAGATTGGTTCTCGATAAATTTAGTTTCAATTTTGAGAAGCTCTATGTTCTGATCTCTAACAGGTAAGAAAGACCAAAAAACAAAATTTTATGTAAGTTCTCTTAAGAGATTATATCTCTTGCTTCCATTTAATAGCTACCGATTATTATATGGCTGTCTCACAAGGACTGAGAACTACTGAATTCATGAATTTGATTGGCTAAAATCAATATTGAAAGCGGTCTAGATTTTCCCATTTAGACCGGCATCTAGACCGGTCTAGAAAAAAAAGGAACAAAGAATAAAAAAAATTGGCATATAAGACACAGCCATATCATAAACATCTTATTAACCGAGTCAGGTCGGTCTGTATGGGAGAATCTTGACATCGGTCGCTGGTACAGACCTCACTGTGTTCGGTCTGTACTGGCGACCCCGGTCAAGATTCTCCCATACAGACCTCCCGCTCGGTTAATAAGAACTAATTATAGCCTATCTCGCTTTTCCCAGGCTCGCTGGTCAGCGGTGCTTTGTACAATTCGTGTCACGACACTTCAAATCAAAAAAGAATCCTGACTCTTGATAAGTAGGCAAACAAAACGATATCCGGTATAGGAAGGAAAAACTAAAAGAATGAATTGATCACTGAACGTCTTTATCAAGTTCTTCATCATTGCTTCAATTCCAGGTGTGGCAAAATGTTTAAACTTTGTTACATCCATTTTGAAACCACTTCTGCTCCCTGTAATCTGATTGGCTTTCATTACTGCGATTTCTACAAGAATCGCACCATTCTTGTTCTAAATCGCATCTTTTTCCAAGCCAATACGAAAGCTACACTAAAAAGGAAATAACCAATCACATTTACAGGCTAATTTAAAGAGGCAATTATTTTGCAAATTTTGCAACTTTTGTTTCCAAAACCTTAATTTCCCTCCACCTCCCCCCCCCCCAAAAAAGAGATGAATTTAATTTCGTACATTTTAAATTTGGTGTATATTTTTACGGTTTCTCTTCCTCTCAAGTTTAAAATCATCGCGATCAACGAGACAGCATTCGTTGCTGTCAACGAGACAGCAACGAATGAGGGAAATCAGAAGTCTGAGCAAGAGTTGGATTTATCAATATTTCTTAACGTTTCAAATTGTGAAATGCAAGACTTTAGAAGTCTGTAGTATGTCCCGCTCTACAAAACAATGGATGAATGTTTTGAGGGGATGGTGTTAGTGCAGTCAATTTTATTTAGAATTTCCACCACTTTTTCCTTAGCAGTTTCAGTACCGCATGGAAGTCTTCAGTTGTGCGACTCCCGTTTCATCGCTGAATTACATAGGCTGCACCTTGAATTTCTTCTCCAAAGACAGCGAGAATTCTCTGCCACAGTCACAGATGAAACGGAGGACTCACATCACTGAGTCCGACGACGAAGATTGAACTTTGAAGCGCAATTTGTTTTTCTCATTTTCAGCAGACCTTATGATTTTCCCGACTGTCGGAGTTTTTGACACATCACGTCAAAGTCTTTCTGTTTTGCATACAAAATAAGATAAAAAAAAAAGCGTTTCCGGCTCTGTTTTTAATTTAGAAACTGGCTCAGCAATAAAATATGTGTACTGACTAGAATCCTGTATTCGGGCGATTTCAAAAGGGATGTAATGAAGTCGTAATTGAACTTCGTGCCGTTCAGTTTTGGCCTAAAATTATACTTGCGATTTCGGAGCGAGTTACCCTTCACTCAGTTCGGTTACCATTTTAAATGAAACCGCTAGCTCCTACCGATATTCAAGTAAAATTAAAGGAGGACTCCAAGAGAGCGACTACCTACACTGATGCCTGTTGGTGTCACACGGCAACAATTCTCCCTTGTTCAGGATAATCAGTCAATCTCGCAAAGAGAAGAGTTTTTACCGCATATCTTTGAGTTACCTTAAGACTTCGTCGTCGGTAGGTACTTTATGAATGCCTTAGAGATCGCCGTTCACTCCACTGTATTGTTTAACGTGGGCTCATTATCGCTGACCCTTTCACTCCCAAATCTCACTAGTGATTCCTTTAACTGTCTGCCATACAAATTCGGTAAAATCAATTTGCAGTCTGTTGAAGCACAGATTAATTTAAAATCCCAGTCGAGGTACCTGAAAGTTCAGAGAATTTGGCATTAGATCAACTAGTAACCTCCCGAGTGACATCTTTCTTTATCCTCGTCACCTGTCTGCTTGATATGATTTTGATATTGTAAGGAGAGATTTTTTCTTGGGTAGTTATGAGAGTTAAAGAGTAATAAAGGGGCCCTTTAACGATCGTGAGCCCACAGTTAAAATCTCCTTCATCCTTCTTTAGATCAGGATCAACCTCCACAAATATTGCTGATTTAGTGGCAAATGCCACCAAAGCAGCAACATCTGTGGATGTGGCCTCGTCTTTCATAACTTCCTGTGGGCAAGAAGAGTTTTCGTTGTTTGTCGCTTCATCGTCGCTAATTGAGGATACTCGAGAGTTTACCACTGGCATGGAGTTCCTAATTGTGTCAAAGTTCTCCTTAGCTTTCTCCATATCAACACCGGCCGATCACTGAGATGCTCTCGATGCATTTCCCCGGGGTGCAGACTTCTTTGTTAGCTTGTGAATTAAAAGGTTTGAACTTTGTAGAGTCTCTGTCTGGTTCTTGTTACTGTTCGAAATCGGTTACGCAAAACTCAAGAAACACCACCAAACAGAGAAGCGGTTAACACTAAAACTCCAAATCAGAACAATCTCCAAAGATCCGACATGTGAAGAAACTGCACTCAAGTAAATCGTGCACGTAACAAACAGTCACAATGTGTTTACACAATTAGAAGTCTTATCGCGCGCGCTTAAGTCGCGCGTCATACCGGTTGAGTTGTCCCACTTGGAGTAAGTGACGATTTTAAAAAATATTCGGACATAATGTTCATAAATATTCAGATCAAATCTACAAAAGAACAACGACAGCTCATACCGATATCAGGAATGATGGATTTCTTGCACCAAATATTGGTAGGAGAAGATTWATATAGGAGCTTTGAGAAATAGAGGGTTGCGCGTTTAAAGCTGGAGAGTAAGCAACTGCTTACGACGGTTAGACCCCGTAAGCACAGCTTAAAGGTGACGGTTGGTAATTCATCGTTTACTTCAATGACAATTGTCTTATTACAGTTGCAATTAAGTAAAAGTATACATAAAATAATAGTTATCTATGTTTTGTCATTCCTGGATTTGTGTTGGTGAATAAGGACTAACCTCTGCAGGGAGGGATTTAAAATTGTTGAGTGGCTAGTTTAGATAACACGAATGAAAAATTTAAGTGAATTTAACTTGAATTAAGTGATTCATGATTTGTTTGCGTCTTTTGGACCCGGTCGTTGTCAAACTAAATGAGAGCTATTTGGTAAGTTATCTATTATGACCGACTTTGTAAAACAATTATTCCATTCAGGCTGGCCAAATATGGGATCATTATTAGCAAATCGGTTAAATCAATGATAACCTCTGACCAACTCTTGAAATAACCTCATCTGCATCACTCGTTTAATATGATGCACATGCACAGGCAAATGGATTGAGAACCAAAGCTTCAAAAAACCGTTTGCACTTGCATTGCCTAACAAGTGGCATATATCACGAATAATTCATTTTGATGAAAGGCTTTTTATCTTTTAAAGCACTCCACCGTTTTTCCATTTTTCCTTGGCTCTATAGCATTTCTATAAGTCTCCTGTTACTAATGGGACGCCTGCAACAGGAAACACCTCTGTTCAGATAGCCCAGAGTTGCAAGAGAAGTGTTGCTGCAACGTTAGGATAATCTCCCAAAACAGTCCTCTCGTTAAGAATGGAGAGGATTGTGTCATTATTTAAAGTTAACAGCTGAGGAAAGCGAAAAGTATGATAAAATATCTCGCGAACGCCCATAACTGCGCACGAAAAAAAATTCCTCCTTAAAACTCCATCTGTCTTCTAAGAAAGAAACAACTGCACGTTTGAAAGATAAACACAGTTTAATAATAGGATTCACATTTCATCAGTTTCAGAATAATTATTATTGCCACTTGGATGACCTTGTTTTATGCTTTTGAATATTTTTTGGACTCCATTCATCTAAAGGAAACCGACAAATACATTGAACATGGTTTGAAGTCAGATGATGTGGAGGAGCTTTACATATTTCTTTTTTAAATCGCTATTTAAAGATGTTCGGATTAGATGTTTGTTTCTATTTTAAGAATAAAAACAAACTTGGCATTACTTGTTGATTGTTTTTTTTTTTTGGTTATTTCGTTTTCCTCTCAATCAACAAAAAAAGTTTCGGCTTTAACATTTGTTTAGTGCTAACTTAAGAAAGCAGTCTGTGATAATGTTTTTCTATAATGTCAGGATTGGTCGTAGACTTTTTTTTGCGAATCATTTGTTTTCGGCATTTTTTTGTTATTTTGGTTTTTTTAGCCGGTCATTAAGTGGCGTGAAGCAGAAAAATTGATCATGATTGGTGGAGCATCCAGTCCAGGTGTTTCCACTCTTAGTTCCTTCTTCGTCGTCGTTTCCGTTTGTAGGGTTTGACCCGTGCCCGTATTTCAGCCTGTGGCAAAAAATGGCAATTAAATATTCTCCTCATACTCATACTCGAGTTACATATCTGATTTGTGGTTTTTCCCTCCTTTCCTGATCTCCCATGAGTGTAGTCCCGCAGTTATCATTCCAGACATAGTCAAGGACTCCATATTTTTCTTTTAGTGACATTTAAGGTATCCCTACTGCCCATTCCAATAATACTCTGTCAATAACTGTCAATCTTGTATGGGGCTGCTTGAATAAAAAATGGTTTAACCTCGAGAAATACCTTAGGAGAAAATGAATCATCGCCCCACACCCTTCTGGCTCTGTAACGTTTCACTTAAGAGGTGAACATTACAGAGCCAGAAGAGCTGAGAGAAGGCTCAACGACAACCTGAAACCAAACATGTTCGTTTCATTGACCTCAGAAAATTTCATCAAGGAATATGCAAGTGATCACTACTCAGTGGTGGATCCAGACCTTGAGCTCAGGGGAGGGGAGGGGGTGGTTTTTGTGTGTGTGCTTACTCCTGCTTGCTGTTCTTCCTTCTGTGCTTTTTTTCCCAAAATGAAGGGGACCCGCGCCCCCTGGTTCCCTCCCCTAGATCTGCCACTGTCGTTGTGGTTCAGGGAAAAGTTAACTGATGTAATTGATTATCTGAGATGTCCTTTTTAATTTAAAATACAGACAGTAGATCGCACTGTTCACAAAATTCAATAAATAGGGATATGGTTATACCTCCAGTAAGATGGAGCACTATATCTATGTCACTCAAAAGGTATTAAAAAGATGCTCTATGAATTTCCTTACTTTTCCCATTTTCGCTACTAAACCAGATGAAATAGACACTAAAGGACGTGTTAGCTGGATGCCAGTAAAGATACCTGATGGCTTTGCTAACCTGAGGTTGGATGGTTACATTTTCTGGGGCCATCACGGCTGCTTGATGTTCCAGGATCCCGGCACCAAGGAGTGCGTGATAAGCATTTCTGATGCACAAATGAGCATACTCCAGAGCTTCTGGATTTGTGGCATTTTCCACTCTAACTCTCGCGAAATTTTCATGAGAATCCGGCTCTAAGCATGGATAAAAAAATACATGAACATTAGAAATTTCCTAAACTATAAGATTTAATATCTACACAGATGTTCCCGAAACATCTGGGGTGGACGTGACATTGTTGACGTCACTTCAATAAGGCAACAACTACGAACCAATCCTGGATACCTAAGTCAACGATAGACGTAAAACTAAACTACTTCTGTTGAGGTAAGTTAAAGGCTTCTTCTTTCTCACCTTCAGCTTGTGGAAAATTTTCATTTGTCTCTGCGACTAAACATCGAGATTTTCGCAATGGCTCGTCACACTCTTTCTCAGATGTATCCAAACTTTCTGAATCCCTGCGCTTTCGTTTCCTGGTCTTCCCTATCAGTTGAAAATATAGATTCAACCACCAGTACCTAATCTCATTATCTTAGTATCACAAAAGAATTGAGAGAAGTCAAAAGCCTCTCCAACCTAACCTTCAGCTTCTGGGGATATTCCCTTGCCTGTTGAAGTCCATGAGTCAGTCGGTTCACCGGGTGGATGCATATGCTCAATCGTCACCTTTGCTGTGGACGAGTCAGTTTTCTCAACAGTCAACCATGGGACTTTTGGCAACGGCTCATCAGTTTGGTGTAAATTTGTCTCCATGATTAAACACTGGGATTTTTGCAATGGCTCGTCAGACTCTTTCTCGGATGTATCTAAACTTTCTGGAATACTGCGCTTTCGTTTCCTTTTGTTTCCTAAAAGTTAAAAAAGAAGAAAAGGAGGTCAACTACCTATGCTTGATATTTATATTTATCTCCCATACGGAAGAAGCACACTCTTTGGATGCACCTGTATTCAACAGATCGTAAAACAAGGCTATCTACTTTCATTAACTCTTCACAGCTTTAAGTTTTAACCCATTCCTTGTTGGAAATTTGAGGTTGTGAAATCGATGTTTCATGGTACCCATTGTATCTAATGTAAAAGATATTGAACAAAGATTGAATATGGGTTTGTTATCACGCTATTGTATCTCGAGATAACTTTATACAAAGAAAGACTCCCTCTGGCACCGTACACCGAGGAAAGGTTAAAAACAAATGATAATACTCATTTTCCTTTTATTGAGATTTCTTTCGTTTTAAAAGATGTTGGTCTCGTACTTTTCGGAACAACCAGACTATCCCGCAAAGGAGAGGGTTGACTTACGAAAGATACTTTTGAGTTACCTGAAGACATCGCCGTTGACTCCGATGAATCCTTTCCCTTTAATGATAGCATTAAAGCCTTCGTGTAACCGGAAGAATCTTCGTTCAATGGACCTGGACCAGCCTCCACAGACTCACTCGTAGTTAGCTCGGGTTGATTCAGGTAGCTGGAGGCATCCAACTGCGACGAGGTTGCATTCACCGGATCGAGAACGAAACTGTGCACCCGATTCTTTGCCGCCATGGATACATTCCCCAAATGAAAAGAGTTTGAATCCTCATCAGGCACACCTGCGTTGATCTCATTAGAAAGAAGTGCTGCACTCTCGTCCTTCATAGCTTCCTGCTGACATGAAGAGCCTTGATTGTTTGTCTCATCATTGTCTTCAATCGACTGTACTTGAGAGTTTGCCAAAGAGTCCCCAGTTGTGTTGTAGTTCTCCATGTCGACATCAGCCAATCCCTGAGATACTTTCGATGCATTTACCTGGGGTGCAGATTTCTTTGCTAGATTGTGAATTAAAGGGTTTGCACTTTGTAAGTTTTTTGTTTGCTTTAGGTAATTGTTAGAAAAAAGTTACAGAAAACCTTCTGGAAAACAAGGGAAAAAACACCACCAGACGGAAACGTGCTTAACACTTAAACTCTTAACGAAAATAATATCCAAACAATATCCATCTCGTCCAAAACTGACAAACTTGTACACGCCAACATGATAGCCTAACAAATGCTGACAATTTGTACTCATATAAATAAAGTTGAAAGCGCGTGCGCTAGTCGTGCATCCCATCAAGTCAGTTCTGTCATCTTAAGAGTTCTGTATGTTTTCAATTTTCTTTTTTGGATCTCACTCTAATATGGTATTTTTAACGAAACCCACTAATATATTTCAGTCGTTTTACTGAATTCCCTGAGGCCATGTACACCGTATGGACCCCGGTCGCTTGCCAAGACAAGTCCTCTATGGGGAACTGCGGGAGGGCGTCCGACGCACGGGCCGACCACTCCTTCGCTTCAAGGATGTTTGCAAGCGCGACCTACAACTCACTGAAATCAACCAAAACACCTGGGAGATCCCTTCGCCAGACCGGAACGCCTGGCGTCGCGGTGTGAAGGACGGAGCACACTGGGCTGAGATGAAGGCCACGGCCCAGGCGACTATCAAGAGGGGGACGAGAAAGAAACGTCAAGGATCAGTTCAAGAGGCCACCAACTACATCTGTACCAGCTGCAACAAAGATTGCCACTCAAGAATCGGGCTTTTGAGCCACTCAAGAGCCCAACAACACTGATGCGCTGACCATCGCCTCTCCGAGACGAGGATGCCATTAATAATTAATATAGGGTTGGTATCCACGTTCTCAATTATTGATTCCAATACGAAGGGCGCTGCTGGACTTGACGAGCCACGATTTGCTGCACAGGCAAAAGCCAACAGGTGTCATACTCGATGTAAAGTGCCACACTGATTGCTTCATGTCTTGTTTTCACATGCAAAGAAAGACTCACTCTGGCACCGTACACAGAGGAAAGGTGAAAAACAAATGATATAACTGATTTTCCTTCTATTGAGATTTCTTTAGTTTTAAAAGATGTTGGTTTCGTACTTTTCGGAATAATCAGACCATCCCACAAAGGAGAGAGTTGACTTACGAAAGATACTTTTGAGTTACCTGAAGACATCGCCGTTGACTCCGATGAATCCTTTCCCTTTAATGATAGCATTAAAACCTTCGTGTAACCGGAAGAATCTTCGATCACTTGACCTGGACCAGCCTCCACAGAAGCACTGGTAGTTAGCTCGAGTTGATTCAGGTGGCTGGAGGTATCCAACTGCGATGAGGTTGTATTCACCAGATCGAGAACGAAACTGTGTACCCGATTCTTTGCCGCCGTGGATACATTCCCCAAATGAAAAGAGTTTGAATCCTCATCAGGCACACCTGCGTTGATC